ACAAAACACTAATAACAAGGAGTACAAGAAGGAAGAAAATATTTTGAAACTGATTGTGGTAGTGATTGCACAACACTTCTTGATATGGCTGAACTATTGAACTGTATGATGTCTGAGTTATGTCCTAACAAAATGGTTCTAAAAAAATAAAAAAGCCCAACAAAACAAAAACTCACACCTAGCACCCAGACTTTGGTTTCTAAAGACCATTCTCCAATAAAGGAAACCAGGGCTCCTTGGAGAAATAGGTCATCACAGGACCAGAGCATCTTGTCCTACTGACAGTAAAGAACTCCTCAAAAAACAAAAGGGTGGACCACAGGAACCAGTCAGAAAGGGCTCTCAATGCCAAAGCTCAAATAATCAGAATAGCACAGTATCGGATTATCAGACTATAATGAAACAGATGATAGAGCAAATAAGGGCGCAGAAAAATTCTTACAAAAGAATCTGAAATAACAAAGATGTGTCTGTGTTTATGTGCGTATAAAACCAAAACTCAACTCAGTGCCATCGAGTCCATGCTGACTCACAGTGACCCTTTAGGGCAGGATAGAACTGCCCCTGTGATTCTCTCCAGGACTAACTTTTATGGGAGTGGAAAGTTCCTTAGTGACTGGTGCTTTCAAACTGCTGACCTTGCGGTTAGCTGCCTACTCGTAAGCATGAAGCCATCCGGGATCCTGTGTAGACATGTATAGTGTTCTCTATGACATGGAATGTAATTCCCACTCCCCTTTAGTAAGGGCTGGTCTGGCTGACTCTTCCAGAACACAGTAAATGAAAAGGCGAGAAAAAAGACCTTTTCAATGGCGAAGCCCAGCAAACACTACCTTAACAAAGTAATGAAGGTTAGTATCAGTATCATGTAATTATCATGTACTCCCTGAGAAAGGCTCTCACGTCTTATTACAAATCTTTCACCAACTCCTTACCCCAGTCTAATCATAAACACACAAGATGAATTCAAAATGTGGAGTGTTCTACAACATATCTAATCTGTACGCCTTAAAATGGTCAAGGCCATGAAAACAAGACCAAGGAGAATTGACGGCTGTGTGCAATGTGGCTTCCTGGGCTGCCGTCTGGAAAAGGACGCTAAGGGGAAAACTGCAGCTTTGTTATCAGTAAAGGACAAAGATGGACTAGTGAGGCCTGGTCTTCTGCTTCCCTGAATCAGCCAGTGAAAATCTGGAGCAGCCATAGCAATATTATGTCCCTAGAAGTGTTAGGGTGGTACAAGACACAGGAGCGTTTGATTTTAGGGTACATGGGTCCCAGTGAGCTGGGAGCTAACTCCTTGGCAGTTAACTGCAACATACCAACAAATGGGTCTTTGGATGACAATGCAGGTGCAGGAACAGGATTGTGATTCGGCACAAACCCTATGACGTTTGTACAAAGTCCACAGAGAAAGGCATTCTGTTATCTGAGGGTCTAGTTCTCTAAAATTTGCCTAACCAGATAGGTAGGTAGAATGCAAACCATTTTTCAATAGTGTCTTTCCACTCCAAATGCTTCTGTGGGTCTTTGGATGACAGTGCTTTGCAAAACCAACCACGGGGGAACTGCTAAAATGCAGTTGTACTGCACCCAAGATTTAACCAGCAATAAATTTTTTTTAAAGCTAAAAAAAAAAAAAGGCTACATTCTAAACAAGTACCTGCTATTTGACACAGATGACATATGTATTGTTTGGCGCCTTAATAAAAGGGATTTAGACTTAGTCTTTGAGACATTTAATAATATCCTATATTATGAACACTAAAATAATACTTAAGCCAAGATTATCTCTGACAAACTGGGATGCCTGGTTACCTTTAATCCAATTTCTGAGAAACGCTGTTACATTGTCATAGAAGAAACATGTGATGGCAAACTTCCTCATAATTAAAGTTTTAATAAGATCCAGAATGGTGAGTCCTACTCTGAATTTTATAGGAAATAATGATAGGGAGGTGATTACTTGGCCTATAAAAACCTAAGCTATTATTAATTGTATAGACACAGCATGGCTGTGTAGTGTGTATATGTTTACAAAGTGATGAGTTTTAGCATTACTCTAAGTTACAGATAGAGGTATTTATGTTTCTGTGCAGACTTTAAATCTGTAATCATAATCTATACAGACTGTATATAATTGAAGCTAAATCGTTGTTCCAAAAATGAAAGGTCACTCACTTAACAGCTTACCCAGTGCACAGTTAAAATAGAAGACAGTTAATTTTTAGTCTACCAAGGCAATTTATAATTAAGAACAAGATGACTAATAAAACCTGTCCCTTCTCAGGCAAGTACATGGATGCTTTAGTAATTTGCATAGGTAGAAGCCCTTAAGATTTTCCTGTCATTTTTAGAAGATGGCCTGAGAGGTTTCTGAATGCAGTCACAGTAAACACAACCCCCTATTGTTGATCTTCACTGCTAAACACACTTAAAAGGTAACTATCTCTGATCAAGACCAACATTAAGCTAACTAGTTTCAATGTGATGTTTCAAATATAATTTGGACTGTGGCCAAATTCACTGTATTACAGAGAATTACTTCCTAATTCATTACATTTAAAATTACATACAGTATATTTCTTCTATTTAAAAAACCCCTTAAAGAAAAAAAAACAACAACGCTTTTTTAAAGTTCCTACTCTCCCTTCTTTGGTAAAATAGAATCCGTGATAAAATCTACTTTGTTTATTTTGAATCTCAGATTTGAACCATGAGGCTATTGATTAGCTACACAGCCAAAAGTGTTTTCTCAAGCCTTAGTCAATCGTCACCATGGACATTAATCCAATTCAATTGACCCTCCCCAGGCATTTTTTGTCCCAGTATTCAACTTATGTGAACAGCTGATTACTTTCCCAATCTAATTCCAACTCAGCAAGATTCCAAATTGGCAGTTTCCTTTCACTTTCAGGAGTATCTGTAGACACCAAATTGCCAAAGGTTACAGGGAAAACTAGAAAAGAGAAAAAGGGGGGCAACAATCTCTTGCCTCAAAACCCTTTGACCTGAGCTGCACTTGAGACAATTCTAAATTAAGGAAAAGGAAAATGGGAAGAGGCAATGTAATAAACCTCTTAAAATGGAGACAAGATTAGACTAGTAGAGTTTTCTTTATTATCTTCTTTAATAAGACATTACAACACACAATGCAGCCCCAGTGTGTCAGTTAAACAGGGGTGTCAATCCAGAGCAAGAGAATGGAAAACAAGTTTCATCTTAATCCCACTCCTTTTTAAAGGCAGCCAATGGAAATACAGCACACAAATGGACCAGATTTCTCCCAGTGCATTTTATCAAGTCTTTAAATATACCACAATAGTTTTATGATGACTTTTGTTGTGATCTACTAAAGAAGGGTTAGAGTGATTTCCCACCCCCCTCCCTTGTAGCAGATTTAACTCAAACACACTAATGGGATTATACGAAAAACCCCCATTTCAAGTACGAGAGTTAATGGTTTACACAGGGTAAATGCAGCTATTTCCCTATCATTGAAACACAGTTAAATATGGTGTCTTCAGCTGCTTATCAAAGTGGTTAAATACAAGAACAAAAAACTTTTATTCTGATTTACAGTCAGTAAAACCACTGGGGGGAAAAGACTAAACAAAAATCTGCGAATGGTTTTTCAATGATTTGTTACTAGCCATGAACATACATATGCCTTTCAGAGCACTTAAGAAATACTTTTGACTTGTACTTTAACTAGGACTTCTGTTAGATCCACCATGTGAAATTAGGCAAAATTCTAATGTTCTGGAAATCAACATATTAGGAAGCAACAAATAGTAAACCTGCAACCTGGGAAATTAAACATACAAAATTAAAGGACTGTATTTTAAAGTAAGAGTATGAGACAGGAGTCTCAACGAAACCCACTCGAACGTTTCTGCGGAATGCTCTTATTTTAAACTTACACTGAAGACAAACAAGGTGCGCAGAAACATGCACAGCAAGAAAACAGAGGCAGTAATGATTATAGCGGAAAAGAGGGCATGCATTTGGTAACCCGCAGGGTCAGGTTTTGGCTTTAAGTAACCACCAGCAGCTATTTGAGTATTCTTCCAATTAGGTTCACTTTGCGTTAGAAAAAAAGAACCTATTGCAGTAGTTCCACTTGTACTGAATTTTGATATTTCACAAAAGCAAATTATAAGAACCCTAAACATAAATCTTCCTTTCACCTGTTAAGATTTACCTCATCCACCATCTGAACCAACCCACTTCTCCCCCAGACGTCTACCTAAAAGCATGAGGACACTGGCCTATTGTTATATTTTCGATGTCATATTGAAGCCATACTATATACATACATAGTCTTTGACTTTAGGAACCAGCATAAGGCAAGCTCCTAAAGTCAACAATTCACTTAAAAAAAAGGAGAGGACGAGGTTCCTAGCAATGAACCAATCCACAAACCATTCCAATCTTCTTGTCAACCCAAAATCCATTCATTAAATTGGCCACCATCATTAATAACTTCCAAATTACAATGTTCAAATTGAAGAACTTGAATAAAGCTGTCATTTAGGAAAAGACAGATGTTTGTTCCATCCCTATCTTGTCTAAAATGATAAGCTTCCTGATTCTTTCATTATGGCATGTACTGTACTTTGGAACCTAACCTAACAATCTAACACTTGAGGAGTTTGTTTATCAGTGATAGGCAGAATACACCTGACCGGCAATTATAGCCAGGCCACAGAGCAGATGGAAATATTCAACCCCAAACACAAGACTTGATCAAAGGGGAAAACAGTGATGCAGCATCCTATGGCAGCAGGCTAGTCACTCTTCACCGAGATTATCAGCTGCCAAGAAAACCTTGTACACAAACTTAATGAGTCTGCTCTAGTTTGACAACCAAACCTGCCACTGAGCTGAGAAAGGGGGATAAGAATTAACACTTGCAAGTCGGGTGGATGAATTCATTAGACTTTATAAGGCAAATGATGTAGAAACTGAGAACAGAATTTCTAGAACCAGTTATCCTGTGATGTTGTAAAATCAAAGTACTACTTTATTAAATGAGTTATTTTACACAATATGAACATCAATATAATTACAATTGTAAAAAAATTTTTTAACAAGGATGGACTGATTTTTGGATTTTCAAATCAGAGTCAACTGTCCATTTACACAGAATTGTCTTTGCATGAAGCCCAAAAGGGAACCGCATAAAAATGAGTGTTTCTGTAGCCCCTTTATTTTTGCTGATCAACAGTTTGTTAGAAAAGCAGCTGCAGGTTTGTTACCTAAGGTCTGAGACAGTAGAAGAGTCAAAGGTGTCATGAATTCACCTAGAAAACAGAAGAAAAGCTTCAGTGACCACTGCACAAATGCTGCCCAACATCTAAGCACAGCAACATGGCCTGTCTACATTATAAACTTCATCTAAGATCGCCCTGCCCTCAGTCAACTGGATTTTAAAACTAGTGACAGCTCTTTGATAAATTTACTTGAAAAAGAAGTCATTCTCAAACACCTACACCCACATTTGTCATTTAAAAACCAACAACAAAAAAGAAACAAAAACTCAACCTAGCAGAAAAGTGTGAACTGATAATTTAAGCAACTCCCAAGTTTTATGGTATGAATTGGGTTAAATGTTGGGCTGTTAACGCCAGGGTTTGTGGTTCAAATCCACCAGCAGCGCTGAGGTAGAAAAATGAGGCTATCTGCTCCCATTAAGATTTATCATCATGGGAACCCTGAAGCAATTCTACTCTATCCTGTAGGGCCGTTGATCTATGCCTGCATTTTGTCCTGTATTTTACTGGACTTAGCAGGTTTACTAAGCCTTGAAAGTGCTCAGGGAACTTTGGCTTAATACTTTTTGGAAAGGAGTCCCTCAAATACCCCTGTTTTCAATTTTCTTTAAGCTGATAAATCTCTTCTATTCTTGAACCAGATATGACTGGCCAGCCTTTTCCATCTTTTAACCCTCTTCCCCAACTCAGCTCCAATAGTAAAAATTGGGTGCTTCAAAAGGCCTCAAGAGGAAATGGTCTGGGAAAATGATCTCTCCACAATTGTAAAGTTAAACAGTAACTTTAAAAGGGGAAGCAGTATGAAATTTCATCTAGAAGGCAGTAATTAATTTCACAACTCTAAAAGATAGCCTATGTTCACCTGTTAGCAAACCCCAAACAAAAATAACCCAACTCACTGCCATCAAGTCCATTCTGACCCCTAACGACCTATGGAGTAGTACTGGTCCTGTGGGTCTCTAAGACTGTAATCTTTATGGGTGTAGGACATCTCGTCTTGCTCCCAAATAAACTAAAAAAAAAAAAAAAGGGGTGGGGTGGGGTGGGGGGGGGGGAGGAATTGCCAAATGAAACACATCAATTACCTGTAAACGACTTTATGCTTGAACATCAGCCAATTCTGGAGGAAGTGGAGTCTTAGGATGTTTGCTCTCAAAGTGCTGCTTGAAGGTCTTAGGGTCTGGCATTTGTGTCTAATGAAAAATTATTACATTAATAATAAAAAAAAAAGTTTAGCTTTATTCATGAAAGAGAATAAACTGCTAATTTTAAAAACCTGGGTAACAGTAAACCTGGTCTTGAAAGGCAACTATCATAAATTACTTTTAAATCCCTACAATGTCGGGGCTAGTGAGCACACTAAGAGGAATCTTGTGACAAAGACATTCCTAATATATTCCCTCCTTAGACATATGAAGAAGGGTAGCTCACATACAATAGTGAATGCTGTCTATTGCACACTAATAGCTAGTAATAGTTCACATGTACTGGCCTCTATGTGAAGCAGAATACCGACTGTTCTTGTAATCTCTACAGTCATCTTGCATTTGTTCCTACAATAGTCCTCATTTTACATGATAGGGAAACAAAAACCCAGAGTTTAATTTCTTTCAGGCCTATATTTTACTGAGGACTAGGTACTTCAGCTCTCAAATACCACACGGCATGGCTTTCCCTAGGCTAGCACCTTTAACTTACTTAATCTGCAAAACTCAAATAGAAAAGATGCAAGCTTTCTGTTGGTGGTGGTGGGGTGGGGGGTTTGATGATTTGATTTTGATTTTTCAGATATGTGAACTTATCCTAGTACTTTTAGGTCAAGGTGGTACTTCATCATTTAACTCAGTAACATTTATTTTCATCTTCCCTCTTTCCAATAGTCAGAGGCTGTTCAGTTTCATAAAAGCACAAAATGACAGGATAATTAATATGACAGATTTCCCCTCTCTTAGATCAAGAATTTTTATATAATTAGGAATTTCTGGCTACTAACAATATTCCAAGTTGCTAGTCTTTGGGGGACTGGTTAAGAAGTCAGATCCTTTTTGTCTTTTGACTTCAATGAATAAGCTACTTCACTGCAGCAAGCACAAGACCCTTTCCCTTCCACACCATTCAGGCATGGGGCCTTAGAGCACGAGGGCTGTTGGGCTGACCTTGCTGTGGATTTCTTCTTTGGCACCAGCATTCACCAACTTCAAAGGCAGTGAGCTTAAACACACTGATAAGGAAAAGGCTTTGGCTGGGAATGTAAGGCACACTCTGAGCCGCAGCGGGGCCTGGTAGTCTAGCATGTGCACCCTGGTGCAGAGCTGCCTGGCTGCACCGAGATCTTAGCTCTACTCTACAAGGTCTCTACTCTGCACAAGTAATTTAACCCCCATAACTGAGTTTCCTCTTTTGTAGTAGGAAAACTACTTTATATCATAGTGTTGTTGTATTAAATGGATTAATACACAGAGAACAACCTGGATAGTACTTGGCACATGGTCATCAGTCAATTGGCGCTGTTGTTAATAATTTTCTTCAGTGCTAACGAACACATTTACCACTAAACACCTTCCATGTGAACATACTCAACACTCTTGCAGATATCCAAAAGTAGGGGATTTGTGTGGGGACAAAAATGTCACTTCTACAACAAGGGGTATATTCATTAGTGGTCTTTAATAGCTTCAATAATCACTAAACTAAGAATGTACATTGAATTTCCTTACCAAGTTCAAAGCTTATGATATGCCCTTAAGAAGCCATCTTTAGTCTCCAAAAGGAAAATAATTTTGCTTCCCTCAGAAAACTATGCCTGACCACAGGCACCATTCAAAAGCTATTTACTAATTGGATGAATAAAGAAGCATTCCCAAAACAACCAGTTCTCAAATCTATTTTCAAATAAGTCAGTCAACATGCAAAAGTTTTATCCTATACAAACTGATCTATATTAAAAGAATTGCCTAGGGAAAACCATCTTTCAATTCCCCTTACCCTACAGACAGTGCAGGTATATATTAAAGCAGCTTTGGCAGCAGCCTTTTGGTCATGTCCTTGTTTCTTCTTTTGTCCAGCTTGCTTTTTGGCATTTTTCTGCTGAGACTGGATCTTCTGCTGCCCACGAGCCATATCTAGAAAGAGAAGTTGAGGCATTAGGTGATTTGTTCATTCTAATCTAATACATAATGATATGCTAGCTGGTTCTGAGTCGACAGCTTAAATTTACAGGAACACTTGTCAGTCCTGCTCTTCAGAGTAAAATCGATGTAACCACTGTGGAAAACCCATTGCTATCCATCCAATAACCTTCAAAGTTCTCCCCTAGATATACACTCAACGGAAACACACAGGTATGTGCAGCATTTGCAGCAAAAGACATGCATAAGGATGTTATCTCCAGGTCTGGAAACAGCCCAAGTGCTCACCACTAACATGAATGCACACCACTTGTAGTTCCATTGATACAAGGGCACTGAAGAGGGAATGTTGTTACAAGTAATGGAATGGTAGGATCTCCCAGTGTTACAGTAAACAGATACAAGAAAACCCAACATTATAAAAAGTTTTACAATAAAGTAAAGCTAGGCCAACAATGAGAGTAGAGATACCTGGAGGATTAGGGGAAGATGGAGGGAGAAAGGGGGAATCAATCACAAGGATCAACCTATAACCCCCTCCCAGGGGGATGAATAATGGGAAAGTGGGTGAAGGGTGACAGAGGATGATGTAGGATATGAAAAATAATAATCTCTAACTTATTAAGGTGAACATTCATGAGGAAGGGTGGGCGGGGGAGAGGAGGAAAACTGAGGAGCTGATATCAAGGGCTCAAGTAGAAAGAAAATGCTTTGAAAATGATGATGGCAGCATAACATACGTGCAAATGTACTTGACACAATGGATGAATGTATGGATTGTGAGATGTAAGAGCCCCCAATAAAAGTACTTAATAATAATTTTTTAAAGTATAGCTAATCTATGGCAAAAGGGGTCACCATGGGAGTAATGACTGGAAGAGCGGGTGTAAGGGAGACTTTGGGACTAATAATGGGGTGCTATCCTGAGCTAGTGGCTTAGTGGATTATAATTTGGGCTGCAAACCACATGCAGCATCAGGATTGGAGGAAGGTTATTAACCACCTGCGATATGCAGATGACACAACCTTGTTTGCTGATGAAGATCAAAGACTGCAGCCTTTCTTATAGATTGCAACTCAAAGTCAGGAAACCCCCAAACCCTCACAACAGGACCAATAGGTAACAACATGATAAAAGAGACAAGATTGTCAAGGATTCATCTTGCCTAGAGCCACAATCAATGCTCATGGAAGCATCCATCAAGAGATCAGACACACTGTACTGGCTAAATCTGCTTCATAAGACCCCTTTCAAAGTGTTGAAAACCAAGACTGTTATTTTGAGGACCAAGGTGAACTAAACCCAAGTCATAGTAGTTTCAATCGCCTCGCATGTATGTGAAAGTTGGACACTGATTAAGGAATGCCAAAGCAGAATCGATGCTTTTGAATTGTGCTGGAGAAGAATACTGAAAGTTCCATGGACTGCTGAAAGGGCAAACAAATGTCTTGGAGGAAGTACCAGAGTGCTCCTTGGAAGCAAGGATGGTGAGACTTTTGTCTTAGGTACTTTGGACATGTATCAGGAAAGACCAGTCCTTGGGGGAGGACACCATGTTTGCCAAAGAAGCTTTGAATAGCCCTCTACAAGATGGATTGACTTGGCGGCTGCAACAATGGGCTCAAACATAAGCCTGTGGGAATGACGAAGGGTCTGATAGTGTTTCGTTCTGTGTCCAGTTTGGATACAGGTAGGAACAGGCTGACCGGACCTAACAGCAATGTCCTCAGCCGGGATTTGGCTAAACAGTAAAAAAATCAGCACACCTAAGATTTGTGTACTTTACTATATGTACTCCTTCATTTCACAATTTACCAGATTTCAGTCCCTCTCCAGGTTAATTTCATTTTATCATGTTGGCAATATTTAGCTATAACTTGAGAAATAAGAGCTTGTTATCCAATGTTCTACAGATCATAGGAACAGGTGGGGGCTGTTCTCTGGAATACTTATGTTTCATAAAATAGCTGTGCTACTAGTCTAAACCTTTCTACAAAGTTATCTTTGCATGTCTGCTGCACATATTTAAAAACAACTTAAATCAATTCAGTTGGAGGAATGGGCCTAGGAGAAAGGCTAAGGATGCTTAGCAAAAATGAAAGGTACCAATTTTTAATATAGGTGGTCTAAAGTAACACTAAGTAGGTTAAAAATAATTAAGTCCCCGAGAAGTATTGCTTTTACTTTTCTATTAAAGACTCCAAATTGGACCATGTAAGCTCATAAAGGGTCTACATACAGAGTCTCAGGGGCTTTTTTTAGTATGCTAAAATTGACCCTCCAGTAGAATTCCCATCTTTTCCTTTGGTTAGCATTGTAATTAAATTTTAAAGTTTGAAATCATTGCAGGGCACGATAGTGCTGACTTTTCCAACTGAAACCCAGATGCATTAGAAATGTGTCAAGGTATTTCACTGGAATAACTGGGCTCCACCACACCTACTCAAAAACTGACAGACAGTGCAAAAGAGAAACTGGAAAAAATTTAAAGTGAAGTTTGGACAAGTTTTCACCATCATTAACACTGAACTGAGGGTCGAATTAAATTTAGAAAAAGATCAATGCTTTTCTGGGATGCCAATTAAATGATGTTAACAAATCACAATAATATTTACCATACTGGCCTAACATAAGGACCCTTTCCCACCAAAACAATGGTAAACATTGCCAGCTGTGTTAGTCCTACAAGCTTATACTTCCATTTAAAAGAACAACAACGAAATCCTTTATAAATTTTAAACCAATGGAATGATTTTAAAAATCACATTTCAATTTAAATGCTATGGCCAGACTACAAACTAATCACAGCAAAAGTTTGGAGATTCATGCTATTATTTTAACGGCGGTCAGGTGTTCAATCTTTATGTATCTCAATGTTTTGTAAGGTTCTCCATGTCACACTTATGTTACAGTTGCAGCTCATGCATCTTAACTCTTCCACACCAGGTATTTATTTTGTGGGAAACCTAACTGAAAACATCTTGTCACATGGCGGATCTCCTAAGCGGTTTCTTGGATACTGAGAAGCTATTGGTTATTTTGACAGTAGATTCCACCTAATGCCATTAGCTACACAAAATGATATGTAACTTTTGCATTTAAGGTTTATTTTGCAACATTACACAACCGAGTTAAAACATGTCTCCCTGGTTAACAAACAATAACAAAACAAAAAGCCATAGCAGCTTTAATAAAAGGGTGAGAGAAGTTTGTTTCTTTTCAAAGGGAAAAGATTTAGTAAAAGGCTAAAGACGTGTAAGTTCATTATGCTTTGCTTTTTTAGAAACCAGCAAAGCTAACACTAAGTAGAAGAAAAAGAATCACACAGGCCGACTGCAGGAGGTGGGCCCCTAAGTTCTGACCACACACTGCCTGAATTTCCTTTCGGAAAGCAGAAATGCAAACGAGCAAACCCACCTGCTTTTGGACAGCTCAACTTAAGGACTCCCAAGTCAACTGCATTTTCCACCACACATTCTGTTTAGCCACCCTTTCATCAATGCGACAGTCTGAAGGGCAACATGTCATTTATAAGTAACTACAGTGTGGTTGAAATTAATGAACTGGGCGAGCGTTCCGACGGGGACTGCAAAGAGGGAAGTAACAAAACAGGCGAGTTCTTTTCAAAACGCGGAGACTCTGGCAAGGAGGCAGGAGGCGAGCGCTGCCCCGGGGATTTTTTTCTTAAAACCGAAAACACAGAAAAAGAAAAGGGTTGGGGAGTCCAGGATGGAACTATTTCTTCCTAACCACCTGAGAGGAAGAGGCCCCAGACAGTGATCAGCACCTTCACCCTCGCTTTCAACTACATCCTTTTTGAGGAGCGGGGAGGATGAAACAGCTGGACCCAAATCCACTTAAACCTTTATCGGGGCGACCCAGCAGCGGCGGGGCCACCATCCGTCCCGCACCGGCCTCTCGGGCCCCTGGGAGACCCTCCCCCTTCCTGCCACCAAAGGCCACGCAGCCCCCACCTACCCGCCACTCCTCACGGACCCCGGCCCGAGACGCGCCTCCCGGAGGCCTGAGGTGCCGGAACCCCGGTCCCCTTCGGCCACCACTGGGGGCTCCGGCCTCGAGCACCCGACCAGCTGCTGTCGCCAGGAGGTAGGGTTACTGCTCCGCTCCCGCGGCCGGCCTGCGACCCGGCCACCTGCGGGGCCTGGCCGGCGCCCGAGCGTCCTCTCCCCCCCGGGGCCCGGC